GGAGACAATGACACTGAGAGGGACACAAGTCAAGAGCATCACTCCCTCTGGGATCAAACTTGCTGAATATGGAGCTAGTCAATGCATTATTAAAAGAGCTCTCTAGCAATGTAGTATCACACTTTCATAAAGCTGGAGGATATGAGAGACAGATTTTTAGACCGTATTGCGGCTCTGAAAAATATAGATCCTAAACTTCCCGTAATGTAAGTGAACAGGCTTTCATTAGATCCTCTCTGTCAGGCAAATGCCCCTTTACTGCATTTTTACCAACATACCAAGGTATGTCACATGGTTTTATATAAATATACACACATAACATATTGTCCCAATATACTAGTCTTTTATTGTTTGACTATATTTATTTTAATTGTGTTTAAAAGTGCTGTACAGTAGCTATTACTTGTTTTAATCACCAAAAGTAGTTTTTTTGGTATTTTTGCCTCATTGCATTTGCCATTTGTCGGTGCTAACTTTTTATAAAGTCCCAAACTCACCTGCACTCTGTGACCACAAACATCCTGAACACAGCAACATAAGAAGAAAATAAGAAAATACCAAGCAGCAACTTCTGGAAACTGAAAATGAAGCCAATTCGTAAGTGCCAAAAACTGCAGTTCCTCTAATGGCCACTTGATGCCAGTCAGTCCCCATAGACCCCTATATTAAAATGCCCAACTTTACAGCAGAAATAAACATGTTTACAGCCTGGTACATAAAACAGTTGTTGTCTGTATAGCTAATTTCAACATTTATGGTAAATGTATGAGGGTGGGTTTTCATATGTTGTTAAGGCGTTCAGAACCAAAAGTAACACATCAGATGTGGTACCACGACCCTGGGTCCATTTAGCATTTCCACTGTAAATGGTACTCTTCAGTGTAGGCAGGGTTATTGTCACTCACTGTTCTGTTCAGCACTCGCTGTATTTCCTCATCACCTGTGACACAGATGTAAGTCTGCGCCTCATTTATTGTCCACAGTACAGGGTTGCATGCCGACATTTTCAGAGTGAGAGTCCCTCTTGATGGGACAAATACAAGTAGGGGGGTTATTGTTGCTGGAGCCCACAGGAATGAGGCTCCACAACTTTTTTTTGTTTTGTTTTGTTCTTTCTCCAAGTGAGTATTGGGATATATGCAGTTCACATAATCTGATCGAAATTAATATATATAAATTTAAACGCTTGAAGGTCCACTCATTACTAAAAGTGTTTGTCATCCAAGAGAGACAATAAAACTAATGGAATGGTCAAGTTGTCTTATTAATATTTATGGTGTGCTGATGGATTCATGCTGTCAACTCATGCATTGAGTAACATTACAAGTTAACGTTCCACCTTAAAAGTTGCCTGCAGTCGGCCCAGTGAATTAAATTATTTTTTCTCAGTCTACAGCTGCTGCTAGAGGCGGAAAAACATCCTTTCATTTTACAGTTATGGCTTAGGAACTGAAGGAACGGTTCCATTGGTACCATCCACAAGTCCCCAAACCGATGGGTGACCTCAAAGTGGCTACTACTTCCATTACTTTATACTCTCTATGGAAAATGCAGGCAGAAGGCAGGATCAATGCATCAATAAATATGGTGCCCCACTGAGGGATGACTTTTGTTAGAAAATCCTGCATTGTATTATTTTAAGTCGTACATTTCAACTACTGATACAAGTTCTAATCATTTATCAGGGTTTTTTTGGGGGGAGTTTTTCCTTATCCGCTGTGAGGGTCCTAAGGACAGAGGGATGTCGTATGCTGTAAAGCCCTGTGAGGCAAATTGTGATTTGTGATACTGGGCTTTATAAATAAAATTGATTTATTGATTGATTGACTGATTGATTGATTGATTGACTGATCAGTACATTCTAACTGCAAAGGTGTTTCGTAGCTCTCTCTGAATAGATGTTTGGGGTATTTGTGTGGCAGTCATACTTGTTCTTGTCAGCTAGAGCAAAGGAAAAAAAAAGAGAAATGAATAACTTAGGAAAGTAAAGACCAGTAACCTTAAAACAATAATCTAAAGCAAATGGTGCTTGACAGGATTCTTGGATAGGAAAAATAATACTATTTAATCATCCTAAAATAAAATGCAGTCTGTGTTTGTGTTCTCTCATGCGTGATTTTACCACCTGAGCTGCTTTAAAAGCCAAACAGGAGGGAAACATCTTAGTCTTCTGCCCTGAATCTCCTCTTTCAGCTCTTATTTCATGCCCCAGCACGCTGCTGTAATACAGTACACAATCCCTTTTTTTATGGACACAGGAATATTTATTCCATCTTTTGTCCGTGCACTGCAGCTCTGACCCTTGCAATCCTCTTACAGTTCTTCCTCTTGGACAGTAGTACTGTGGATGATGCAGGAATTGCGGCTTATTGCAGCTTATACTTTTGTGAGTCACTCTGGATAAGTTAGCTAAACGACTCAGCTGTTAAGCTTTACCGGAACATTTTATTTTGTATAATGGCTGCATAGAGTTTTGGAATAAAGTCCTGCAGTGACGAAAGACAAATAGAGAGTAGAATTGTTACTGGAAATGAAACAGGTGAATTTATCATATAACTAGTTATAATTGTAGGAAACCATAAAAACAAAACAAAAACCACATGACAAACAAACAAACTAGATTTACCGCCTTTCGGTTGTATGCCTTGCGCAGCAGTCAAGTTGCACTTATACTTAACATCTATGTCTGTGAAAACAAGGATGCTTCACACATCGTCCCCATTGCAGCACAGACGATCTATAAATCAATACAGTTTCAAGGTGGACACCCAAGATTAGTGTCACTAATTTAGTGTCTGACCAGTATCTTCCTGAGTTATGATATTGAGTAACGGCCAGAAAAGTGTTTTTAAAGAGCATTAGAATGTCACAGTAAGGTTGACCTTTGACCTTTAGATATATATAAGATAATCGCTTCAAAATTTTATCCTATTGGACATTTCTGTGAAATTTTGTGATAATTAGTGCATGAATTCTTGACTTTTGTCCAAAAACATGTTTTCTGAGGTCACAGTGACCTTGACCTTTGACCTTAAACTACCAAATTCTGATAGGTTAATCTGTGAGTTCAAGTGGACATTAGAATTGGAGGAAATTTCCCTTAGGCATTCTTGAGATACCGTGTTCCTAAGAATGAGAAGGAAAAGATCACAGTGACCTTGACATTCAAATTTAATTCAAATCAATTAATTGCTGACTCCAAGTGGACGTTTGTGCCAAATTTTAGAAAATTCCCTCACAATGTTCTCTGAGTTACTGCATTCAGGAGAATGGGACATATGTACACATGTACGGATAGACAGACAGGCAACACAAAAACATAATGCCTCCAGCCACGGATGTCGCCAGCATGGACTGAACTGCACAAATCTGTCTATCAGTGTGTATGGACGTCCACCATCTGTGATGTCACATAACATACTTTAGGACACGTGACCCGATACGCTGCAAGAGCAGCACTATTATGCACAGTTTGTGTAATATAACCTTTGTCTACTATTGCGACTATGTTGAGTTTAGTCGATTCAATTCTGTTACAACACACACACACACACACAGCAAGAGCAGCACAGTGCCATCAGCTGTACATGAGTCAGCAGAGGGTCTGTCCTGTCCTTTACATCTATTCAGGCAAAACACACTCACATTCGCACTATTACTGTCTTTGTGTCTCTCTATGTGCAAACACAGCCCAGTGTGTAGGCTCACTTAAAAAGAAACCCCAAGTGTGCAGATCCACGCTGACACACACCACAAACATGTTCATGAAGAAAAAAGCCCACAGAGAAACATGCATGTGCATACACAGGAGCAGACACATGGACGGGGGCTCGCAGGGCTGAACCAAACAGCATACACAGTGTGTTAAAGGTCAGGGTGTTGTGTTTCTGTTAACCCCAGTTAATTTCAAGGCATGATATCTGCTACATAGCAGACAACAACATGTCCTCTTAAAACTACACACTCCTATAAGGTTGTTTTCTGTGGTTAATGTCTCACAGGCCCTGCACACTCTGACAGGTGTTTGTAGCTCAGGCTGAAGTCTGGCAGAAGCCTGGAAACCTCATGAATCTGTGAGCTCATGTTTTATTTGCTTTGGCAGACACGTGTGATCCCCCTGCAGTTCAGACAGAATTATAGCCAGGCTCGGCCCAGATCAGGCCAATCACAACAAATATGGTGCAGGTTTCAGATGATAACTAACAACTTGCAAAACCTTTGTGCTTTACACAAAATGCGTGGTGATGTCATTTCAGGTTTTGCACCCCCTTGCGCTGGAGACACTATGGCGAGCATAAACCTAGCTCTGTAAAGAGAAGCGATTTTGAGGCATTTTAGAAAGCAACAAAACTGGTATAAATTGGTGACAACAGTTGTAAATTGTCAGCAATAAAGCTTACAGAGGAGAGGCTATAAACTGTAGGGTAAATGTTGATCAAGGACAGTCTGCACATGCCCCATGCCATTAGTAGAGCTCTAATCAGGCAGAAGAACACCAGTGTGGGTGAATGATAAGTGTGTGAAGCCAGTGTCAGGATACCTTCTTTTTGAACTTCACAACCTAACAGTTCATTTATAAAACACTCCAAACTGTGTGAACATTCTGTCAACGCCAATAAGACTATAGATTGATGTTGAATGCTGACTCTGTGGCATTTATCCAACAATGCAACTTGCTCAGATCATACCAAACAGACAACAATAATCTACAAAGCTGAATAACATCCACTGCACTGCCAGTGTTTTATAAAAACCACCAAAACTGTCACCAAAAATTTCTGGAGAGAAAATCCAGATGACTTTTCCTAGACTTTGACAAACCATTTCTCTTTTTAACAAGAAATGAAACCCCTAACCCACATTTCACCACCTTCATACATAGTCATATTACATTTGTAAGGTTGTTTCATGCTCTCTTTGTCACCATTTGTAATTATTTCACACATAATCAAATCCCATCCAGAATTAGTGCATTAAATATCCCATTACAAACGGCCTACCTGAGTTTCTTGGGGAAGCAGGAAGTCCTCAGGTAGAGTCAGTCCTTTTATGGTGAATTCACATTCCAGTCACATCACTGGCCTCAGGGTTACAACGGGATGACAAGCTAACAAGGGCACCCTCCTACCTGCAGGAAAAAAGGAGGAGAGGGAGGGAGGAAGGTGAAACAAGGAAAGAGTGCAAGGATGGAAAGGAGAACGAAAGAAATGTCAACATGTTGCATCATTTATTCATTAGTATTCCTAAAGCTTCTCTTCTTCTGTCTTATGTCCCTCCTGTCAACCCCCCACCCTCACCCACCATTTCTCTCCATTCGTTTCTTCTCCCCCCAACCTCGCTTTTCTTGCCCTCCCTTGGGGCTACTCTGCCTCTCTGCCTTTCTTCAAACTTCCTCAGCAGGACACACAGAGAGTGTGAAGGGAAAAATCAGTGGTGGTCTTAGCAGTTTTACGGAGGTGCAAATTTTGGCAATAAGAATAAAATATACTGACTACTTTAACATGCACACATGGTTGTTGCCCTGAATCCAAAAAAAAGACAATATTCTTACTAAGCAGTTTACATTGCTAATGAATATGAATATTCCACTAATATTCCTGTTAATATGCAGCTGTGCATACTCTGATTAATGTGTCTGAACTTGTTAATTTCTTCGACCACACAAATACAGCCTCCCTCTTTCATTCCTGCAACCACCTTCTTGAAAAGGTCAGTGTGTGATATTTGCACAAATCCAAAAACCTGTTGATATCCAAGTCCTTCAAAATGTTTAAAAGTAGGTGTGTTTCTCCTTCCAACTAAACATGTGAGCTTTTCTTTTGGGTATGCATCTTTACACCTGCCTTGCAAACTGCTGGCGAGTTTGTTTGTGTACAACCTATCCATGACGACGTGCAGAGTTGGCCGTGAACAGGCAGAAGGTTGTGTGTTGCAAACTGTAGGAAAAACCCCAATTAAGACGCACATTCCAATGGGCTGTAGAAATGTCCAAAGACTGCTCCAAAAAACACGAATAATGTTGGAATATATCATGTCTTCATCTGGAAATGCTACATTCGGAAAAAAAGCCTAATTCCAAATATCCAAAAGGAATATGCTGTTTACAAGACCCGTATTAAATTAGCAACAATGTCAGATTTACTGTGCATGTAAATGTAGTGACTAAGTACATTTACATGCACAGTTAAGTTGAACAATGGTTATAGTTCAATTAAGCCATTTAACTTGACAACTGTCCTTGTCCCAGTATACAAGCCCGGGAGGAGAATCAATCAATTCAAGTATCTCTGACTCTGCTACAATAGAATTAGAATTAGAACTAGAATTGGACCTTTTTCAGGTTGACCTATTACATCACAGACCAAACAATCAACAAACAAGTTCGCTAGCGGCAAACTGATACTACGGTGGACAACTTTACAGCTCTGTGCATTCCATAGGTGTTGTATGCTTTACTTTTTCATCTCTTTCTCTGTTATACATTCAATGCTATTCAACTTCAGAGTCAAAGCCCAGGGTGGAAACTGTGGAGCGTGCACAGAGCGCCTCAGCCAGTTTGGGTCTGATTGACTGTATACATGCAGGAGTAATTTGACTCCTAATGGCATTATCTCGGTGTGTTAGTCCGACTTTGAGAAATTTGATAAAGTACGATTTCAGTCAGACTATCATGTTTATATGTATTTTAAAAGTCCAGTTTTAGTGGGACTGACACAATAAATTGATTTTCTCTGATGCCATGTAAATATACAGACTGATGAATCAGTTGTTTTAGGTTACAGACAACTGAAAATGTATCCTTTTCAGTCAGCTGTAATTTTGCTTTTCCATGCCAAATGCAGTGAAATGACAGTTAGAGAACCTGGTCTTCTAAATTGAGTTGAACAAGGTATGGCGGATTATATGTTAAGGATAGATTTGATCAAACTGTTTGATTTGATTTGAACACTTGAAAGTGGACATGGCTAAACAGGCATGAGTCCCTGGAGAATCATGGCAATTTGGAGTCAGATGCAGCCATCTATTCAGTGGCAGCGGACAGTTTGCTTTCACTCACACTACCAAAACCTGCCTTGTTGGTTCAGGACGTGGAAGAAAAGCATGAAATGAATCCATTCCAGTCACTCAGACCTCAAATATAGGCTTTATGAAATGGAAAGTTTGAGAGGAAAGCTTCAGTGACCTCCGTGCTATGCATTTCTTTTTTTTATTATTTTTTAATTTTTTTTAGATGGAAGGGGTTAGCTTGTTACCCAAATTTCGATTTAAGTGGATAAATGAACATATACACACTGGCTACAGGATTGCTTTCTGATTATTGAGACATGTTATCAAGAATGAGAGAAATCTTGATATATATCAAATTTAAAAAATGTTTTTTCTGACACTTTCGCCAACATTCTGGCATCAGTCCTTCAGTGAGTGAAAGTTTTGTCTAGAGCTGCAGACATTTATGCCAACATTCAACAATCATACCAACTCCGTCTCCATCAGAGAAGAACAACAGATGCAGTATTCTGCAGCCTCAAAGATGTGTTTTGAATAAGTGGCACGACTTCTCAGCTAGGAAAACTCCTCTCGCTTATGTTCCTCATCACTCCGTACACCCACACACTGTAACCTGCAGCTGGTTGTTCATGTTTGCTCTCTTGGGTTTCTCCTAAGGCATTCTGGGAAAAGCAAGAAACCACTGACCACTTTTTATCACGGAAGAGCTACCGGAACACAGTGAACATCACAGACTGATGATATATAACACTGTGCCAACAAAGTGCCTGAAGGTGGGATTTTTTCTAAGTTTGATGTCAGAGTGGTGTGGGTGTAACGTAGGTGACTGTCTACTGGGGGAATACTTAGATCACATCCTATACATTGGAAAATATATGTATGTTTTTTTCTCAGATACATTTTTTTACTCGAAGAAATCCCATTCTCTAAATTTATTAACTTGAATCGGCTGCAGGCCTGCAGGGAAGTACTTCTGTTTACTTTAGCTAATTTAGTTTGTACGGCCATAAAAGATACAAGTAAGGTAATTAAACTAGGTGATAAAATGCAGCCGCGACAGAAGAACACAGCAGAAACACAATTTGTGCAGCAGAGATAAATGACAGAAAAAGGCGAGCACTAATAATTTTGGCTTCAAAACAAAAAGAAAAATACAAGAAAGTCCAGATGATATGGTGCAACTGAATTAGATAACAAAACCTTAATGGAAAAAAAAAACATCAGTGTCCATGAAAAATAAGCAGAAAACAACATGAATTGGGGTGATGAAGAAAACGCATCCCAAGGGAAAGAGTCAGTGTAAGTGAGTGGGAGAAGAAATGAGTAAAAGACTGTGTGTTGGATCACTGGGGGAAACTTGTTTTGTTCAGAAACTAGAGAGCAATGACAGGAAGCTGTCTCGTCAGAAAATCAAATAAACAGGAGATAACTGTTGAAAACAAAGGATCATCAAACTTCTAGCAGAGCTAATTCAGAGACATGTCTCTACAAAAACAGAGCTGCAGTGACTGGTTGCTAATTTCATAGTGTACAACCAAAGAAGAGAAGGGCATTAAACGTGTGTAACCTGTCACATTTTCACTGCATTTAAGTTATGTTTTTGTAACAAACATATTTCTTATTGTCACCAAATTGATCCAACTAACAAGTATTGTGTGTGTATCAAAGCCTGATATATGTTCTGTGCCATAGTGCTCCATTGTTGTCCAAAAGCTATTAAAACACATCAGTGAGCCACACTGTTGCATTGGGTGACATGTTCCTTTATTATCATCAACACACACACACACACTGTAGCTTATTTGGACCCCATCCCACATACACCATCCTGCTGCCACAAATACGCATTAGAGCACCAAATGTGGATTAATCCACTGCTGAAAATAGTCCCCAACAAAGTCATCATTTCCTCCTGTTATAGGGAATCACCAATCCATCCTGAGGAAATAGGGTGGCATTATAGCTGCTAACCATGGATTTATTACATTTGCATGTTATTATGTAGTGGATATGTTGAAACTTTACGTTTTAACAACACTGTGTTAACATGTGGTTTGGTTTAGGCACAAGAAAACAAAAGCCATGTTTTGACTTTAAATAGCTGGTTTTGGGAGCACAATCCCCACTGGAAAAGCAGCATTGTCTCTGTAAAAGAACAACCCTTTTTTTAAATCCCACATTCTCCACTGGAAAAACAGCAACTGATCGTTATTAACAACCACATCTGGGGGCTGAAAAGCTGCAGTGGACACAGCAACAGGCCTCTAAAAACATCCATGTTTGAAGGCTACAAGGTGCTGAAAACACAGCATTGGCTCGCTGAAAGACAAGTGGTTTTGATGTTTCTTGGTCTCGAATAGTGGTCTGCAGCTTGGCAGATGTCTTGCCTAGGTGACACATTATTGAAAATGAAACTATACAATGTATTTGTGAGCCATTTTCAAAGATTTACATCCTCAGTATGAGCCAATGGGTTCAGAGATGAGAGCCGATGACAGGATAGAGAAGTCACAAAGACAAAATATTAAGAAATGGACTAACACAGTTTGGTTTGAATTGTTATACAATGGATTAAAAAAATAAAAAATAAAGCAAAAATATAAGGATCATTTAAGCTTCACGCTTTAAGTGCAAGTGAAATGAATTTGTGCAGCAAGTGACAAAAACACCCCTCTTAATACAATTTATGTGAGTCAAGAATTAAGGTAGCTGAAAAGGCTGGGTTTATGTGAGGTGAGACATCCACCTTTATTTGCAAGATTCCTGGGAAAGAGGTGAGGATTAGGAAAGAGATTAGCTGGAATGTAGTCAGATAGAAAGAGAGAAATTGAAGTGGGAGAAACAGAGGGGCGAAGTGTGAAAAAGAAGGCAGAGATGACAGATGTAAAAGAAAAGGGGTGGGGGGGGGGGGGGGGGGGGGGGGGGGTCTTTGATCGGAAATGTCAAAAATAGTGTGATACAGGAAATACAGAAGGTAAGTCAAACTCAAAGTAGGTGATAAGAGTGAAGGAGGAAAGGGCAGACAGGTGTCTCACAGCGACTCGCCTCCCTGCCGGTCAGCACTTCTCTGACTGACAGCGGGATTAGCATTAGCACGGCTACGCAACAGCGGATTAGCGC